CCTCCATGAATAAGCCGTAAAATGAAAAGCACACTGCTCATTTCAGACTATCGCCATGACGAGTTTATAGATTACCTGGAAAAATCAAACTCTGTTTGTTCAGTTTGGTTTACAAGTCAATACAAGTGACTAAAAAAGAGAAAATCTGGGTGCTAAATTACTGCAGACAAATTGCTTCACACTCTGGTGCAATCCCCAAATTCACCAAAATAGTTTGTATACACTGTGGTATTTTGCTCCACTCACTATTACACAATACAAGTGACTGTTTAGTAAATAACCCCCTAGGTCTAACTTTTTTTAAAGATCCTACGAAGCAGCTTAATAACGTTCATAACTGAAAAGCTATGTTGCGGTGGCTATGGTGCGGTGAGTACCCTGCTCCCTGCTGTAAGTGGCTTATAAGGTCTGTAAATAAAGGAATACTACCTCGCGGCCCACCTGCCAAGAAAACCTTTTATTTACTTACCCGATCCCAGCGCCGATGACACTCGGAGCTCGGTCAGCGCTCTCCCCCTTCCAACGTCAAGGGGGGCGTTTCCTTATAGCAATGCTTTCCTACGGGGATTTAACTGAAGCTGGATGTCCTCATAGATTGTCCTAAAGTCGACTAGCATGCAGGAAGCTGGTAGACGGTCACTAGAGGCTGTCTTAGTGCTGCAATGTAACCATTGACGTTTCTCTAAAACTGTAATATTTTACATTGCAGGAACAAGGGCAATAGCCTGGGTGAAGTGGTCTGGGTGCCTATATTGTCCCATTAGCATACCACCCAAGTGTTCCTATTTAGGAGGGACAGTCCCTATTTTGGGCCCAAATCCCTCTGTACCTCTTTTCTATCCTAATGTCCCTCATTTCTAGGAGCTCCATATTGTTGGTGTGTCTGAGTGTATAACAGAGCTCCACAGCAATAATACTCCCAGTAATGTGTCTGAGTGTATAACAGAGCTCCACAGCAATAATACTCCCAGTAATGTGTCTGAGTGTATAACAGAGCTCCACAGCAATAATACTCCCAGTAATGTGTCTGAGTGTATAACAGAGCTCCACAGCAATAATACTCCCAGTAATGTGTCTGAGTGTATAACAGAGCTCCACAGCAATAATACTCCCAGTAATGTGTCTGAGTGTATAACAGAGCTCCACAGCAATAATACTCCCAGTAATGTGTCTGAGTGTACAACAGAGCTCCACAGTAATAATACTCCCAGTAATGTGTCTGAGTGTATAACAGAGTGTAATAATACTCCCAGTAAGTATAACAGAGCTCCACAGCAATAATACTCCCAGTAATGTGTCTGAGTGTATAACAGAGCTCCACAGCAATAATACTCCCAGTAATGTGTCTGAGTGTATAACAGAGTTCCACAGCAATAATACTCCCAGTAATGTGTCTGAGTGTATAACAGAGCTCCACAGCAATAATACTCCCAGTAATGTGTCTTTAAACTACAATAAATGTGTTTATAAATCAGTCTGTGTAAATAAGATACATTGTTGTTATAAATTACCGTATATAATCGAGTATAAGTCGACCCAAATATAAGTCGAGACCCCTAATTTTACCCCAAAAAACTGGGAAAACGTATTGACTCGAGTATAAGCCTAGGGTGGGAAATGCAGCAGCTATTGGTAAATTTCTAAATAAAATTAGATCCCCAAAAAATCATATTAATTGAATATTTATTTACAGTGTGTGTATATAATGAATGCAGAGTGTGTGTGTGCATGAATGCAGTGTGTGTGTGTGTGAGTGCAGTGTGTGTGTGTGTGTGTGAGTGTGTGCGTGTATGAGTGCAGTGTGTGCGTGTGATGCAGAGTGTGTGTGTGTCTGTGTGTGTTTGTGTGTGTGATGCAGAGTGTGTTTGTGTCTGTGTGTGTTTGTGTGTGTGATGCAGAGTGTGTGTGTGTCTGTGTGTGTTTGTGTGTGTGATGCAGAGTGTGTTTGTGTGTGTGTATGAGTGCAGTGTTTGTGTGTGATGCAGAGTGTGTTTGTGTGTGTGGTGCAGAGCCTTGGTGGGGGTGGGTGGGCATTTTTATAAATTTTTGTTTAATTATTATTTTAATATTTAATTTTTTTTATATTTAATTTTAGTTTTTTCCAGAATCTAGCTACATATATTTTTGTCGCAGACAATATGTGGGTAAATATATATAATCTCTCTCTCTCTCTCTTTGTATTTTACACTTGGATCGATATTAAAAAGAAACAGTTGTGGAGATATATTAAGGATCTCTGGATAAATAAAGAGTTGATTAAATTAGACATTTGAGTTTTTGTATCATTTAGTTCCTCACACCATATGTGAAATACTGTCCCATCTCCAGCAAACTTTTGAATTTGAGGATGACATTTTATGAAGTTTCATTGGACCATATACCACCTATAGATTATCTTTAAGTGTAATTCAACTAGAGACACAAAGTTTATCTGTAGTGGCTTGAGTCCGGTCTGAAAGACAGAATGTTTTGTGCTTGGAGATATTCTGGAGAGCTCTACTGATTCTTCAACTAAGATTTTTTTCTAAGACTTCTTTTTTACTGTTACAGGTAAGAGTAATCTATAGGAAAAGGTTTGATTTCCTGTTGGTAATTGGTAAGGCATCTGATTTGATTAGTTAGGTGTTTGCAAATTGTTATTGATTGTATGTTAATAAGCATAGGCCTACCCAGGTATTAAACATTCCTAGTGGGTGGTGATATAAGGGTTGTGATCACTAGCTTGGCTAATATAGCTTGGTTGCTGCTTCAAAGTGTGTGCTTGGAGATATTCTGGAGAGTGCTGCTTCAAAGTGTGTGCTTGGAGATATTCTGGAGAGTGCTGCTTCAAAGTGTGTGCTTGGAGATATTCTGGAGAGTGCTGCTTCAAAGTGTGTGCTTGGAGATATTCTGGAGAGTGCTGCTTCAAAGTGTGTGCTTGGAGATATTCTGGAGAGTGCTGCTTCAAAGCGTGTGCTTGGAGATATTCTGGAGAGTGCTGCTTCAAAGTGTGTGCTTGGAGATATTCTGGAGAGTGCTGCTTCAAAGTGTGTGCTTGGAGATATTCTGGAGAGTGCTGCTTCAAAGTGTGTGCTTGGAGATATTCTGGAGAGTGCTGCTTCAAAGCGTGTGCTTGGAGATATTCTGGAGAGTGCTGCTTCAAAGCGTGTGCTTGGAGATATTCTGGAGAGTGCTGCTTCAAAGTGTGTGCTTGGAGATATTCTGGAGAGTGCTGCTTCAAAGTGTGTGCTTGGAGATATTCTGGAGAGTGCTGCTTCAAAGTGTGTGCTTGGAGATATTCTGGAGAGTGCTGCTTCAAAGTGTGTGCTTGGAGATATTCTGGAGAGTGCTGCTTCAAATTCTGGAGAGTGCTGCTTCAAAGTGTGTGCTTGGAGATATTCTGGAAAGTGCCGCCGCGCGGTGTTTCTGAGGAGCATATTCTGGAGTGCTGCTTCAAAGCCGCAGTGCTTGGAGATATTCTGGAGAGTGCTGCTCAAAGTGTGTGCGCTTGGAGATATCTCTGAGAGTGCTGCTTCAAAGCGTGTGCTTGGAGATATTCTGGAGAGTGCTGCTTCAAAGTGTGTGCTTGGAGATATTCTGGAGAGTGCTGCTTCAAAGCGTGTGCTTGGAGATATTCTGGAGAGTGCTGCTTCAAAGCGTGTGCTTGGAGATATTCTGGAGAGTGCTGCTTCAAAGTGTGTGCTTGGAGATATTCTGGAGAGTGCTGCTTCAAAGCGTGTGCTTGGAGATATTCTGGAGAGTGCTGCTTCAAAGTGTGTGCTTGGAGATATTCTGGAGAGTGCTGCTTCAAAGTGTGTGCTTGGAGATATTCTGGAGAGTGCTGCTTCAAAGTGTGTGCTTGGAGATATTCTGGAGAGTGCTGCTTCAAAGTGTGTGCTTGGAGATATTCTGGAGAGTGCTGCTTCAAAGTGTGTGCTTGGAGATATTCTGGAGAGTGCTGCTTCAAAGTGTGTGCTTGGAGATATTCTGGAGAGTGCTGCTTCAAAGTGTGTGCTTGGAGATATTCTGGAGAGTGCTGCTTCAAAGTGTGTGCTTAAGTATAAACTGGTGGTAATCTGAGGTATACAGGAGGTGAGAAAAAATAAATTAAAAAGTAAGATTTGATTTGTTTGATTTAAATTACTAACCTCATTAAAATGGCAGACTTAGTTCAGTGTAATAGTTGTTATGCATTTGTTTCACATTCCACGTTTTGGAGATTTGGATGCCGTCTAATCTGTAAACAGTTCTCTATATTGCAGCAGGAGATTGTATTTTTGAAGTCTGAAATTTGTAAATGATCTGGTAACAAACTCAGGCAAAGCCACTGCCGCAGAGACGTACTAGGAATGGCAGATGGATTACTGTACGATCTGGTAGACTTAGAGTTGTGGATAAAAGGCATATTGCACAGTCTGTGGCTC